CGGAATTATTCTTAATGTGTTGGTTTTCCAATTGTTACATTTCTGTCGAATATTATTCGTACAATATGATCTAATGACAAAAACTGTTTTTGGTTAAGATCATATTGCATTTACAACGCACAGCATACATCTCCCGATCATTATCTCCTGGCTCTAGCTATTTGGCTGTGTTTAGTTATCTTCACGATTTTAATCAAATAGTGCCCACCATAGTGAACCAGGAATACGTCAGAGTGCAGTGATGCATTATTATAATGAAAAGCACAAGTCCATGTACTGAAACGCTTAGCCTATAGTTTTTGGTAGCCAAGTTTGGGATCAAAGTCAAAGTCATCACTATTTGTAATTCTAGCGACATCATGACATATAATTAGTTTTAAAAAAATATTTCACCTTTTGAATCGTACTTTTTCTGGTTTGCCTACGGTTACGTTAGCATTGTTTTGTTTGGGGTTTTTTTTCGCGGAGAGAGACATACGGATAGCAAAATAGGCCTATATAATTAGTGTACTAAATGTAGAAGAAAAATTCCATATTTTTTCTAATCCTCACTCTGACTCGAATGGGCTTGACAATTTTGTTTTCATGTAAAACTCTTGAGTGAGGCCACTCGATCACTTGACGGGTTACTTTTGACTTTTTTAGTCCAGATCTTTTTCATGAGCCGGTATCCATATGGTATAAAAAATATTGCACTCGTTATGGTGGTGTAGTCATGATTTATCATACTTGTAATCATTCGTTGAAACTCGTGATTACAACTTGGCAATTTCACTCGTAAGGTAAACGATGATCTATCACCATAACGAATGTAATAGATTGCTACCACAGAATTACAAAATTTTATGAGCCCAGTACCTAGTTTTGACAAATTTGACGTTAAAAATGAGTTTCACAACATGCCAAGCTTTAAAAAATATGCATTTCTTTGAATATTATTTTGAAAACGACTCCAAATAATTTCACGATTTTAACAGGGTAAATTAACATTTCGTTTCTGGACTCATGGTCTCAGTTACTCAAAACGGCCAGAAATGTCAGAGAGGGCTTTGTAATTCTAAGGTAGCGAAATTCTTTATATTAATTTTAAGCCTCACACAAGACGTGCAGAAAAAAGCTACCCGTACCAGGGAGAATTAAAGCTCTTTCACATCAACCCATAGCGTTGAAAAATATTACTTGAAAAGACAAATGCGCGTTTGTTATATATTTAAATCTCGAGGCTCTTTGTAATTGAAATCAAAAGTTATTCACAAAAAAAAACCTACGACCTTTATTATGTTGGACCAGCTATAGCATCGAGCCTGACGTTTAATCTTGTCTCTAATATTATGGTTATTTTTGTTTTGTTTCAGGAAATGTTTACAGGGAACACATACATTATATTCTCTTTAGAAAGCCTCCCGAAATACGTAAAGATATCCCCCCCCCTTCCCAAATTTTATTCGATCTCTTGGATGAAGTACAGAATATTAGGACCGGTGCATGTGATGTCACTATTGCACGTAGGAGACCCGAGTTCGATTTCCACGTTGTGGCAGTTTTTATCGAGTATCTTTTTGCTAGAATATGGTATCCTTCTTAGCTTGGATGAGCCCTGAAAGGCAAGGTCAGAACCCCACCCCTTCCTATATGATCTAAAGTGTATCAGTGCGGGTGTGAAAACGCCGCATTAACGCTCAGTGTCTTTTTTTAAAGGACGTTTTTTTTAATCGACTGGACAAGAGCACTAATGCAAGCAAATCATTACTGTTTCGTTTCCTCAGATGGTAAAGAGATTATTCTTTTGTATTACTTTCACTCTAATTTTCTGTCCACTTTTTGTTTTTCGCTGTGTACGTTTTCCCACCTCTCATTCAAAAATGGCGGAACAGGACACCCACCCACAAAAGGTAAGACAGTAATTTCACAAATGTGTTTGAACCATCTAAAACAAAGATGTACTAAGGTGTATAAATACTACATTCACCCAAACTTGCAATTGTAGTAATCATTCTGTTAATACTTGTTCGGAAAATATCAAAACTCCTTTATAAAGGACAAAATTTAAAACAAACAAAACATTTTAAAAATTGAAATACTCCAAGATGTGTTATGGTTTCTTCATTTGAATGCACTGTCAGATTTAAAAAAAAATGAAATCAGTTAATTTTTGAGACCTTGGTCATTAATTGGTTTAAGGAAAAAGAAAGTTTGGAGGAGGGGGTGCGTTACAGCAAAATAAATGGTGTTTTAAGGTCAGACTATCGTTCACTAACAATTCTGGATAGCATGGTGACTGAAGTGAGCTTAAAGCTGAGGATAAATACTAAAAAAAAGAAAGTTATTGCGCCAGTTTCTGTAAAAAAAATAAATGCATGTTTTGCAGAGGTTATACTCATTAGTCTTGTATTTCTGTAGTGTCAATTTTATCAAGCAGTAGTCATGTTTTGGTTAGCAATATGTTAAGCTTTTTTTTACAAGCATCTAACCATCGTCGGCTGTTCTCTCAAAATGCTGGTAAAAAAAATAAAAATAAAAACTAATTAATTTTTTTACTACACATCATTACATTTTCTGCTTTTAAATTCGAATTAAATGTAACTTTCGCAGGATGTTCACAACGCCTGATCTAACATTCTTTTAAAGGATCTTTGATCGCATTTGTAGGTTTTTATAAAAGACATAAGAAAGTTAGAAGATTTTTTTGCATAGTTAATCAATAACTCAATTTTAAAGTTCCACGAAATAAAATTAAAGCACATACAAACAATCCCTCTAGCCAAAATCACGGACCTGTACATTTCCCAAGTATATGCCAAATGAAAAAAAATGTTCATAACTAAATGCATAAAACAGGATCAAAGTAGGTCAATAAAGATCAATACGACCATCGTTTCCATAGCAACAGAGCCTTGTTCACTTTTTTAAACTACTGATTTCGCACATCAGATATGGGCTCTCTGTGGTTTGCAATAGCCGAGATAGACTTTTTTTGTAGCTCTACTTAAAAAAAAAAGAATATCAGGGACACTGGTTTGAGTTTTTGGAACACCAACAAGATTTATTTATACTGTTTGTTTTCACAACAAGATATTGCTTTTTTAGAGACATCTGATTTAAGGTTTTTAACATTGTCAATTTCCAAGCGTGAAATCCTGGGTCAATGCTTCTCGTTCATTAATAATTTTCCCCCAAGTCAAAGTCTTGCTGAGGAACATCTTTTCAAAAGGATTGAATGCCTGTAAGACAAGTCTTGACCTCAGTAACAGCTTCTTTCTCGCATACCAACATCTCATCCCAGCAGTTTAAGGATTGCCAGACCGGTCTTGACCTCATTTATAACTTTTCCCAAATCAAAATCCTGTTCTTCAACATCTCTTCCAAACAGTTTAAGGACTGTCAGACCAGTTTTGAACTCATTTATAACTTTTCCCAAATCAAAATCCTGTTCTTCTACATCTCTTCCAAACAGTTTAAGGACTGTCAGACCTGTCTTGACCTCCTTTATAACTTTTCCCAAATCAAAATCCTCAGTCTCTGCTTCTCTCTTGCCGAACAATTTTGCAATACTAACAGCTCCTGGGACTATTTTCACGAGATCACTGCCAATGCCTTTAAGGTCGTCTCCAACCTTGTGCCAGTCCGTGTCTTCTACCTCAACTGGAAGAGTGTCTCTCTTGCCGAACAAGCTTGCAATACCAAAAGCTCCTGGGATTATTTTCACGAGATCACTGCCAATGCCTTTAAGGTCGTCCCCTACCTTGTGCCAGTCTGTGTCTTCTACCTCAACTGGAAGAGTGTCTCTCTTGCCGAACAAGCTTGCAATACCAACAGCTCCTGGGATTATTTTCACGAGATCATTGCCAATGCCTTTAAGGTCGTCCCCTACCTTGTGCCAGTCTGTGTCTTGGAACTCGACTGGGAGAGTCTCTCTCTTGCCGAACATACTGGCAATACCAATAGCTCCTGGGATTATTTTCACGATATCTTTGCCAATGCCTTTAAGGTCGTCTTTTACAGCATCCCAGTTTGTGTCTAGGACCTCGACTGGAAGAGTGTCTCTCTTTCCAAAGAGAGAGGCGACGAAGTGGGTGACCTTGTGGATGCCTTCTGTGACCTTTTCCAAAGCAAAGTCTTCCACTTCCATTGGTGCAACATCTCTCCGGCCAATTACTTTCAGAATGGGGGCCACCTTGTTGTACAAATCTACCAATTTTGTTATGGTCCCCAGATCCAGATCCTGGTTCTCAATATCCCTTTTGCCAAAAATATCGGCAATGAAATCAGTGACTTTCTTGATGCCGTGGGTAACATCTTCCAGGTGAATGTCTTCATTTTCAATAGCATTCTGGAAAGAAGCGAAATTTCCCAATATTATTTGTTTAGTTGGGCTTGCTTTGTTTATTCACAAATTCTAATACTAAGCCAGAGCACCCAGTTATTGATTAGAACTGAAATAGCAAAACAAAACCTGGGATGGGGGAGGAGGTCGGGCTCTTTATTTTATAACCCCTCTTGAGTTAAAATAAAAAGAGCAGTTCTACAGGAGTTTCAAAAATCTCAATATGTTAGGTTTGACGTTGTGTTTACCAAATCGCTACCTCAGAGTTACAAAGTTGTATAAGTTCAAAACCTAGTTTTGAGAAATATCACGTAAAAAGAATTTGAGTTTCTCATCATAATGCCATGTTTTTTCCCGAATGTAATTCTTTGAATATCTTCAAAACGACTCTGACCAATCTGACTATTTTGATGAGCAGATAAAGCATCTGCTTTTTGATCTAATGGTCTTAATTACTCAAAACGGCCAAAAATGTCAGATAGGACTTTGTTATTATGAGGTAGCGTGGTAACATAGCAATACCATTCAAAATTTGTCCTAAAAACCTGTTTATCGTTACCATTATTTTTCAAACATACAAAAGAACGTCATCATCATCATCATCATCATCATCATCATCATCATCATCATCATCATCATCATCATCATCATCATCATCATCATCATCATCAGCACTATCCTCTTATTTTATAGTAGAAAAATATGCTGGAAACTTGAATCCTTTTTGGTATATCCTAAACAATATTTAACATTTCGCCAGCTCAGTCTTCACCGAGAGCGTGTCTAAGGGAAAAAACTCCATAGCATTAAAGCAGTCATTATAATAGTTTGATGTTTTATATTGGTGCTTTATTGAAAATATCTGAAAGAGCCAAAGCTCAGAGAGAGAAATACTGACTAGTTGTTTGGGTTAGCTTTGCCATGGTCCTGGCTAAGCGTATAGTTAAGTTAGATTTATTGTTAATCCTTAATGTGGAATGCTCCCTCAGAACTGGCATAAACAGGGAAGAGGTAAGGGGGTGGAGTAGGCTGAAATACTAGATGTGTATGATCACAAGTATAAAAAGATAAACAGCAACACAAAGTACCAATCACACCCCATTTCCAAAACAAATTGTAAGATCACACAGTGGCAGATATATAGTACCACTGAGAACAGAGAAAGAAAGATACAAAAAAGTTCCTTACCATCTAGTATAAGGTTACTGTAGGAATAAACACTAATGTGTATTGCTGTTTCGAATATATGCTGCATGTATCTTTCTAACTCTAAAGGTCTTGTGGTAAATTCTTGCATGTGATTGAAAGATGTATCTGATTTTATATGTGCATTATAGTTAGCTTTACTTTTCTCTTATATAGAGTTTTAATGAGAGTACTTTAAAAATCTATGTACACCTTCGTGTGTTTTACGGTCCTGTACAGCAAAGGGAAAAGCCCTCTGGAACAGTAAAGTTTTTATCTTATCTTAGATGTACAATAAGATGTAACCGCCCAAGGAAGCCAAAAGGTAAAAATTTCACTAAATTATTATTGTTGTACAATAGAACAAAATATACTGGAGACTTGAAGAAAGCCACGTATATTTAATGCAAATCATTATCATCATCACAGTCATCATTTGTAAAAATGCCAGAATAATTACCAGGTCAGCAGGGAGGGCGGACACACCAGCCAAAGCTAGGGCACAGACCAAAATGACAGCGTTCATCTTGACGGGGCTTGTCTTCTTTCAACTCTGAAAGAAACAAAACAAAACAAAAACAAACCGCTTTTAGAAGTATGCAACGGCTTCAAAGCCCTATTCAATCTTGGAATAAAATAAATCTCTTTGCCACATTGCTTTTCCTCTCAGAGTATATTATGTTACAATCCTATCTTTTTCAACATTAGCAAATCCTTCGGCTGTCTATTTATATAAATCATGACTGTTATTGTGACAAGGCCTGCTTAAGATCTACAATACCTACAAATTGAGATACTAGAAGTCTGATTGCGATGGTCTGTAGCGTCTGTTGTTGTGGTAGTGTAGGTACATTTTTTTCCATCCTTGTCGCAATGTAGCCCTGGACCGTTGAAATGTCACAATGCATTTTGGACGAGCCATGACATTCCCGTGGGTTGGGGGATTCCCTGTTCTGTCTAAAGAAGGGGAAACCTCTGTAATGCCGAGAAGTCTCACATGGACCCCAACCCTCTGGGATCCATGAGCAACATCTCTTTTTGTTCGTCTTTCTCTTCTCCTCTCCTCTTCCCCTCTTCCTCTTTCTTCTCTTCCAGTCCTGGCCTCATGTGCACTAAAACAAAGTAGGCGCCTTGTTGACTGCGAGGTGCAACCCGAACGGAGGGATACCGGGCACTTCGTGGTTGAGGAGAGATCAGTCTACAGACTGTATCTCACCAGCACACTTCTTTGGCCAATGTTTTCCTCTTAGACTGGAAGGTGGTATGGCCCATGCCATTAAATAGGTTGGGAGCTTAACTTCCTTGAGTCTGTCCTTTGGCTAGTCTTGACAGGTATAAATACACTCTCGTGAAAAGTATTGTGCCAGAGCAGCCCTGGCACAGCTCTGGACATTCGAGTAATGTGTCCCCTCCTTAGACTCGGTGGAGCGTGAGGAGCCCTGGAGTCGAACTAACCAAAACAACTCCTATGGAATCTAACAAACTTGCTAACCCCTCCCAAGCTCCCAACATCTACATAAAAAGTTTTGGTTCACGAAAGCAGGTGTGGCCGCCGAGCCGAACAAAGCAACCAAAAGCGGGGACACTGGACATTTTAGCTTTTTTCCCTCCCTGAAGCTTCTTGGGCGGCTGCACCATCTCGAGAACTTTCGCGCACAAGATGATTTCAGACTTAAACCATTTCAAGTCTAGAGATGCACTACGACAAGCACTGGGATACGTCCCCACAAAGGTACATAAGCTGTTCTCTGTTGCATTCCTTGTTACTTACTTACTTACTTCCCTTTATCCTTCCCCTTGTACATCCAGGGCGTGGAGGGGAGAAAGAGCTTTCTGTCTGTAACAAGCTGGATGGTCTGGCTCAGTGGGATGTTGTGTCTTTTCAAGGTGTCTTTCCGACCCTCGATCTAGGTCTTCCTTGGTCTTCCTCTTGCCTAGTGCCTTGATATTAATTTGTTGTTCGCTTTACCGTCAAGCTGGTGAGGTATCATACGAGTCAGACATCCAAACCACCAATTTATTTGCCTTGTGGAAGACAGATGTTGTTCCCATTATTTCTCTGATCCTGTTGCTTCTCATCATGTTCCATCTGGTTTTGTTGACTGCTAACCTTAGACATCTAATCTCGCAAGTGATTATCTTACATTCCAGACTTCTGGTCAAGGTCCATGTCTAGCAACTCCGTGTTGTGCGTCCGAAAAAGAAGTGACTGGACTCCTGAAAATCACAACCTCCAATTGTATTGCATGAGAATCCGCTGCTTGAAATGCATTGTCTGCAGCTTTTGAGATGAAATGCTGTTTCACTGACTAAATTGTAGCAAATTATGAGGGTGCGGTCGATACCAGCCAGAATGCTTTGCCGTGTGTGTGTGTGTGTGTGTGTGTGTGTGTGTGTGTGTGTGTGTGTGTGTGTGTGTGTGTGAGAGAGAGAGAGAGAGAGAGAGAGAGAGAGGGAGGGAGGGAGGGAAAAGCGAGAAATGATTATTGAGAAGGATTCAGTTACAGATTTTTGTTACCTTTGCAGAGGCGGGCCTCTCCACAACAATGAGAGTGTGTGTGTGTTCGAGAGAGAGAAAGAGAGAGGAAAAGAGAGAAATATGGAGTGAGAGAGAAAGAGAAAAAGACAGAGATAGAGATAGAGAGAGAACGAGATAGAGAAAGAGAGAGAGAACGAGAGAGAGAGTGAGTGAGAACGGGATAGAGAGAGAGAAAGAGAGAGAGAGAGAAAGAGAGAGAGAGAGAGAGAGAAAGAGAGAGAGAGAGAAAGAGAGAGAGAGAGTGAGTGAGAACGTGATAGAGAAAGAGAGAGAGAGAGAGAGA